GGTCTCTACCTGACCGGAGTCACGCTGTGTGTGTCCGTCAGGAAACAAGCTGTTAACAAGTAGTTCCAGCAAACATCCACTGATAAACTGCGATGTTAACAACCTCATGATAACCTCATATGTTTTTAACTTAGGATCATACCTGTGTTTAGTCTAGAAAAAGGTAAATGTGTGCATTTTATTATAAAGTTGTGTATGACTGTTGCAAAAACTAAGAAGCTTATAAACATCAGGTTTAAAACTAAAAGAGCTTTACAAAAAAGTAACACAATGAAAGATGTTTGGAGTTTTATTTGAGTTATTAATTTACATTTTTTGCCTAAGAGATGCTGATTTGAAACCGTTGTTACATACAGTTACGGCATTTCCTGTTTCTGCCGGAGAGAGGGGAGGCCGTCCCAAAGCTTGCTGCTGTATTTATACCCTTAACCCTTAATGGAGGGAGCCTCGTTGAGCTGCTAGTGTGGCTACGGACGGAGTTCACTCCGTCACGGAGGGGTAGGGTCGAGGGGGTGATTTGGGATTGGGCCTCAATTTGCCCAAAACCGGAAGCTGGGTTGTAGCTCTAATAGCAGCTAATAGGAAATCTCTGTTTTTGTCAAAAATGGAAGGATGGATTATCAGTAATAATTTCAAAGCGACACAGACACATTGGATTAACATTCAGCAGCGTTTTTCTCGTTTTAATGCCAGTGAACACAACTTTTGATCAGAAAAACAGCAAAGGTAAGACATTTTTGCCGTTTTGGCCCAGTAAAGCTATGCTGTGTGTTGTCTAGGTTTGCCTGAGCTGCCGCAACTTTTGGTCGCACAGTGATGATACTTACACCGCTAGAATCTGTGGAATCTCAGCTTTAAGCTGATATATTGTTTGTGCAGATCCAATAAGTAATAAAGTATTTATACCGTGAGTTCTGTGCTAAGTGCGTTAGCATTTTTTCGCTCAGGGCTAATTCAGAGGCTCTGCCTGTGTTTTGTTTCGGTGAAAATTGTTAATATTGTCTGATAGCTGAGTTTCTTCCCATTAAGTGGGTATGACACATTAATAGGTTGTTAAATGTTAAGAAGCCCTGAGACACAGTTTCGTGGGAAAAAATAAGCCCCGCGGGCGGGGGCTACGTGCGGGAGTTTCTTGTTTAAGGAGAAGATCCTAGAAATGTAAATGCATTTAGTATCACGTGAAAAGCTAAAACAACGAGGTTTTTTGCTTGACCAATGATTGAAATATTTGATTACAAACATAGTTGCAAATTATTTTATCTAAAAGTGAATTAGCTCAGCTATACATAGATGTTAAGTAATAGAGTCTGTGTCAACAGATGTATTTAAATTAGAATAAGTCACTTCATTATCTGTAACATACCACACATCCAACTGGAGAACTGAGTAAAGTTTAATTGAAGTTTGCTTTGACCGGCTACACATTGAAACAAAAAAGTCAAACCAATCACAGTGACCCTTTGATGAAGCTTCACCAAATCTTTCTTTGACCTCTGACCTCAAGCTGTTACAGTCAGAGTAGAAAGCTGTATCAACACGAGCCTCTGCTCTGTAGTTGACAAAGCAGGAACAGAATGTACTCCTCTTTCCAGACAGTGGTACCAGGCTTCATGTATACAGTTTCAGAGGAGAATAACAGCTTGGCACCGGGTAGGAGAGATAAATAGTCGGTGAAAAGTAGCAGCTGTTGTTGGCATTTGTCATCTCCAGTTAGTAACACTGGTGTTGTTATCACTTCTTAAAAATCTGACCAGATGAAACTAGCTGAAGTAAGATTTTACTAAAATAAAATGACAAAGTAACAGTTTTAGAGAATGTAAGTCACTGCTTCAATTTGATGGAAATATGTGGCTTTTTAAGGGAAAATGCCAAACAATGTTGGCATGTGAAGTCTTGACAAGTTTATTTAGCATCTGTGGTTAAAGAGTAGCAAGAAACCTCATCATAAATTCCTGACATTTGAAAAAAACACAAATAACTAAAAATCCAGGCTTAAATGTTCCAGTCTGACCATGAGGACTGAACAGTAAATACGTTTTTAAACAGAGATTACAGCTAAAAAGTTGGAAAAACTTCAAGCATAAAAGAAGGTGTTTGGGGGCTTTTATGGTTATATGATATAACGTAATTATCCGTATTTTTTCACAAAGAAAAATGTCTTTAATTCGGTTTGAATACCAACTATTTTAACTTCCAATAAGGGGATGAATTTGATGCATCTGGGAAAGTAAACCCAAGGGGCACAGGGGCTTAAATTCAGTGTCAAGCCTTCTACTCCATATTGGCTGAGCTAATTCAATAACAAATAGTAGAATATATTAAACAGAAAAATAATAACACAGATAATAAAAAGTTTAGCTAAGATCTCTCTGAGATTGATCCTACCACTAACTTCTGTGACAGATCAGCCTTCCCTTGATCATCTAGGACAGGGGTCTGCAACCTTTTTGACCAAAAGAGCCATTTTGCTCCTTTTTCCAAAACATTTTTTTGTCTGGAGCCGCAAAACATATTTCATAGCTAATAAAGTTGTATTTATTGTTATGTCAGACAAAAACTACAGTTTTTTTTGCATCGATTAGGCTATTTACAACATTACATAAAACTGTTAACCTCTAATAAGAAACAAAGAACTCCTATAAGGAGAATTAAAAAATAATACACAGGCCTACCTTAAAATAAATTAAACACAGCACTTGGGGAGTCCTCTGCACATTTGAAGGAAAAAAAAAATTAATTATTTTGAAATAAATAAAACATATAGCTGCACCCTAAAAAGAGTTAAAGGTAGGGTAGGTAAGAATGGAGAAACCAACTTGAGTGCGCTAGAATTTGAAAATACCCAACCGGAAAAAATATGCCTCTTCCTTCAGACTTTCTTACAGAGTCCCTCCTCCAACATACACGAACGTGCATCATCAATGAGGGCACGAGATACATTTGTGCACAGATCAAAGGCTGACAGGCAGGTAGGCCATCCAGTTATTTTAGCCGGGCCGGCTCAGATGATTGGTCGTGCTTTTTACAGCGCTACGGCTTCCAGAGATTAATTTTAGTATGTATTTATTGTCAAAGCATTTAATATATTCATTGCTATCGGGACGTTAAGAGCATTCCATGGAATATAACAAAAAGTGTTTTCTGAAATAAATCACATACCCCATTGAATTATGACTGAAGATCGTCAGCTGTCTTCCTCTCCCGTGTTGTTCCTCGATACGTAAAGGCTGCAGCACCTTTGACAACTTCTCTCTACATATCAAACATACCGGTAAACCAGCATCGTTTGCTTTGAAAGCATATAACTCTGTCCACGCAGAATTAAATCCTGTGTTCCTCCGGTACTTTTCTTTGATTTAACCATATTCGCTCATCGAGCCGGGGGTCAGGTTATTCAGCCGCAGGAAAAGGCGCTCGCAAAAACGCATATTTTAGTTGACCTAATTAAAACTGTTTTGTTTTTTATTTATGTGTCACCGTATCAC